AAGTCCAGAAGGAAGTCAAGGATAGGTCCGGAAGCAAGTCAGGAAGTGTAGAAGGAAGTCAGGAAGTCCGGAAGGAAGTCAAGGATAGGTCTGGAAGGAAGTCAGGAAGTCAAGGATAGGTCCGGAAGGAAGTCAGGACGTTTGGAAAGAAGTCAGGAAGGAAGTCCGGAATAAGTCAGGAAGGAAGTCCGGAAGGAAGTCAAGGATAGGTCCGGAAGGAAGTCAGGACGTTCGGAAAGAAGTCAGGAAGGAAGTCCGGAATAAGTCAGGAAGGAAGTCTGGAAGGACGTCAAGGATAGGTCCGGAAGGAAGTCAGGAAGCCTGGAAGGAAGTCAAGGAAAGGTCCGGAAGGAAGTCAGGAAGTCTGGAAGGAAGTCAGGAAGGAAGTCAAGGATAGGTCCGGAAGGAAGTCAGGATGTTCACAAAGAAGTCAGGAAGGAAGTCCGGGATAAGTCAGGAAGGAAGTCCAGAAGGAAGTCAAGGATAGGTCCGGAAGCAAGTCAGGAAGTCTGGAAGGAAGTCAGGAAGGAAGTCAAGGATAGTCCGGAAAGAAGTCAGGAGGGAAGGAAGTCAGGAATAAGTCCAGAAGGAAGTCAGGAAGGTACTCCGGAAAGAAGTCAAGGATAGGTTCTGAAGGAAGTCCGGAATGAAGTCAGGAAGTCCGGAAGGAAGTCATGAAGGAAATGCGGAATAAGTTCGGAAGGATGTAAGGAAGGAAGTCAGGAAGTCTGGAAAGAAGTCAGGAGGGAAGGAAGTCAGGAAGGAACTCCGGAAAGAAGTCAGCAAGGAAGTCCGGAGGCTGATCCGGCTGCTCTGTGAGCTAGCTTGTTTATAAGCTAGCTCACAGAGCTAGCTAGTTTACAGAGCTAGCTCGTTAGCTTAGCTTCCTGGGGGATCCGGCTGCACCTCGTTCAGCTGCAGGACTTCGGCCTCGGCGGCTTTGGCTCGGCGTTCCGCCTCCCGGGCCGAGGAAAGCTGCTCCTTCTGGGCCGCGCGGCCCTCCTCCACCTCCCTCTGCAGCTCCTTCAGCTGCCCCTGGGGTCAGGGGTCAGGGGTCAGAGGTCAGAGGTCAGGGAGAACATGTCCAGCCTGACGCGACTCAAACTGAGTTATTCTGGGAGTCAAAACGAGGCCGTTTTTCTGACTCAAACTGAGTTATTCTGGGAGTCAAAACGAGGCCGTTTTTCTGACTCAAACTGAGTT